AAAATATATTTTAAGGCTATCACAAAGATTTTCAATAAAAAATGTACGCTTTATTTTGATTGTTTAGAGCCTCGGCTCTATACAATTAAAGCTTAAAAAATAATATAGATCGAGTATAACTAAAAAATAGTATAGATCGAGCATAACTAAAAACATTTGAAAATCTTGAAAGTTGACGGTGCAAAAAATACAATACAAAATAAACTATTTCGAATAGTTAAAATCCATTTTTTCTCATATCCAATGCGATAATCGATTTGAAGATTTTGAAGCATCAAAACAACCTATTCGAAGCAAATTTTTGAGGTGCACCTTGATTGTTTAGGGCCCATCCTTGTATAAACTTTTTCCTTCATTTGTAAATTAAAAGATGTTTAGGGGCGATTCCGGTATTTCATTTGTGTATCTTGGGCTGCCGACGTTTTTTTACTTGGACGGTTAGATCATGTGCTGTCTTCCCAAACATGCGTTCCATTCTAACATCCATTCCACATGGCAATTGAAATGACCAAAATATCCCACTTCGAGGAAATCGACGCCCACTCGCAAGGAGTAAATGACAAAGGGTTGGTAATTTGTTTATACATATATACGGTGGACACTTGTTTTAAAAATGTGTGTAAGGTTGAGATCTTAAAATTTAGAAATAACTGGCACCTTTAAAATCTTTCAAAAAAAAGTTGTTTTCACACTGTAAAGCATCTAATTGATCATATGTCCCATATTGACATGAAGATTTAAGTAATTGATTATCTCGACATCAAGATGTATAGATCTGAAGAAAAAAAAACAAATTTTAAATTAAAAAATAGTACATCTTGCAACTCATTATATAGATTGTCTATTTTCAAGATTTTTATGTTTATAGATATTATTAATTTGAACAATTTTTAGAGTTCAAAATTTTATATTTAGAGATAAAAATAGATTCTCACACCATCCTGAGAATTTTCGATACCAAAATTGCACCTCATGACGATGTTTAGAAGTGCACCGTAATTTGATTGTCTAAAGTTATAGCCTTATGTAAACCACACCCTCTTCCTTTATTATTATTTTATTTGAACCATAATATTTTGTAACTATTAATGAGGCTAAGGATTAGCACAAGCGCTTATAGAGCTGAAAGCTAATCTCAGAGCTCATATATAATATGTAGCTTTCTATCATGGCTCGAAATTTCATTTAGAAAATGATGGTCATGACGTTTGTTTTATTTTGAAAAATTTATGTGTGGGCAATATTGGGGTGAGGTTAATTTTAAAATGGGAATATGTTTGTCCCAATTTATAGGTGACACCATTTGTTTTTTTTTTTTGTCAAGTTACTCTTTATTCGGTAAACCGAACACCAGACATGTGGGTTTTTTACGTTTAAATGAATACAAACACTAGACATAGGCTATTCTTTCCTAATTTTTAAGGATGACAGCCAGAGAGAGAAAAGGCGGTAGAGAGAGAACGCAACAATGGGCAATGGGTTAGTTCTTAACGATGGCAATCAGAGAGAGAAAAGAAGGTATAGAGAGAAACGCAACAATTTATTTCGTTGATAAACTCTTCCCTGAAGCCTTGTATAACTTATCCCTGAAACGTCTAAAAAATTTCAATTGATTTCGTTTATCCACAGGAATATTTGCTGATTTGGTTTTAGCTTCAGTTGGCCTTGCATAAGTAAGCCCCAAAACCCAACGAAATTTTAGTAGATTTCATTTTGGTAGAAGAAGAGAGACTTGTGCCCGGTGTTTGTGTGCGATGAAGAGGAGCGCATGGTGGGCAAGTATGCGGCTCCTGGATTTGCCTTTACTGTGGGGGGTATGCAAGACATTGATGTGGAGAGCTTTTGAAGGTTTTTATGCAGGCTTTTTGAGTTTCTATTGTAATGTTAGGGGACAGAGATGGTTTGGGGATAGAGAAAGATTGAGAGAGATTCACAATGCTTGGAGAAATAGGGCTGGCTGGTTTTGTGGATAGCAAATAGCTGTCCGGTGTTTGACAAGGCGTAATTTGGAAAAAAAAAACACCGTAAGAGGGGTGCCGCATGTAATTTGAGACAAACATGATCCCATTTTGTAACTGACCCATAATAAAGTATGTAAATTTCTCTTTTATTTTAAGTCACACATTCACACCTAAGTCGAGGGACATGGTGTTCATTTGTCTAAGGGAAATTATAAAAAAAATCCCTTTTCCAAAAAAAAATTGAAAAGAAATCTACTTTTTTGAAACTTCATTCGTACCCATATTTTTTTATTGTTCATCTTTTATTGCCTAATACACCGTTCTTTCCTTACATTAAAGCATTATGGTGGTGAAATTTTAAAGCATCATTTATATTAGGATTGTGATGACCTTTTAAGATATATAAAGCATCACAGTTCTAATAGAACCGTGATGGCTAGGAACCATAGAACCGTGATGATGGGAAGTTTTTCTCTCTCCCTAGCAATAACCTCTCTATACTATCAATAACCATCAAAGTTCTTTTAGGATTGTTCTGTATTAAGTTAAAAGCTTTCTGCCATCACCGTTCTATCTAATGGTTCCCACAAGGGAAACACTATCACATTAGATGGCCATCACAATTTTATTGAAATGCCATTATGATTCTAGTAGACTTATGACGTTTTAAATTTTCACAACCGATGTATTTTAGCTCAAAGAAAGGAACCGTGATGACTTTCAATGTCCTAATCAACAGGGTATTTTATAACCTAAAGGATGAAGAACAGAAAAATTGTGTATGAACGAAATTTTTTTTTAAAAAATGATGTTTTTTTAGGATCTTTGAAGAACAGGGGATAAAATAATTTTCGATTATTTAAAAATGACAAGGATTCACGTGGTTAGTCATCTTTCACCTGTAACTCTTTATTCTCTGCCATGGCATTGACTGGTGAAAGAAGCACTCGTTGCGTTTCTCATCTCCCCATTTGACATTTCTTCCATATCAAAACCTCCCTCCACCCCTAACACAAAAAAAACATGGGGTCTCTTCTCTCAAAGCAAGTGGAGAGGAGAAAATCAGCGCTAAGTAAATGGAGAAAATAAGAAGGGAAAAGTTTGAGGCTTTGAATAATCAAATTCGAGTCTATCTCAAAAATTTTACTGGAAGAGGTTGTTTTGATGCTCAAATATCTTTGAATTTATCATCTCGACATCAAGATGTACTTATATAAAAAAAAAATAGATTTCAAGTTTTGAAAATAATGTATTTTGTAGCACATTTTTGGACGGTCAATTTTCAAGATTTTCATAGATCTATCGATTTACACTATTTTTGAAGCTTTAAAATTTATACATAAAGATGAAAATATATTTTAAGAGCATCAAAGTGATTTCCAATAATAAAACGATATTTTTGAAAACTATTTGAAGGTAGCTTCTAATTTGATTATTTAGAGCCTACGCTCTATACAAACCACACCCAAACAAAAATCAGAGAAATAAATGCTTTGTGATGAGTTGTCTTGAAATAAATCCGCACGTTCTTGCACCTTACTCATATCTCATCATCATTGGAGCCTTTTTTTTAACTATTTGGGTGCGCCACACCAATCCTAATATACTATGAATTAGGTTTCTATGCGGTCGGCCAGCATATTGTAGAAATGCAGGTTTGACAATAGATATATTTTTTAAATATAATTTGATCCTAATTTTTAGAGAATATATCATTTGTAATATGGATATCATGAATATGACATAATAATAATAATTTGAAAACTTAAAGTATTAATTATATTTAAAAAACATTTGGATTGTTAGTTACACTTGTTTTTAGATGGACCACCTATTGTAGAAACAATTTTCCATATGTTTTACCCATATCCTTATAATTAAAGGAAAATGGCCGGTGATGCTCGTGATTAGGGTTTCAAAAATAGAATAGATCGAGAGATCTATGAAAACTTGAAAATCTTAAAAATTGACGGTCCAAAAATACGTTACAAAATACACTATTTCTAAAACTTGAAATCTAGTTTTTTCTCATGTCTATGCATCTTGATGTCGAGATGATCGATTTGAAGATATTTGGGCATTAAAACAACCTCTTCTAATGAAATTTTTGATATGGGCTCGAATTTGATTATTTAGAGCATAGGCTTTATACAAACCGCACCCAAATAAGAATCAGAGAAATAAATGCTTCGCGACGAGTTGTATTAAAATAAAACTATGTGTTCTTGCATCTTACTCGAGTCTCATCCTCATTGGAGCCTTTCTTTTAACTATTATGGTGTGCTACAAGAATCTTAATATGTCATGGACAAGGTTTTTATGCGGCCAGCCGCATATTGTAGAAATGCGGGCTTGGCATAGATATATTTTTAAAATATTATTTGATCCTAATTAATTTTTAGAGAATATATAATTTTTAATTTGGAGATCCTGAATATGAAAAAAATAATTTGAAAATTTAAAAAAAAAACATTTGGATCGTTAATTACACTTCTTTTTAGATGGCCATTGTAGAAACAATTTTCCATGTTATTACCCATCTCTCTATAATTAAAAGTAAATGATTTGATAGGGCTGCAATAAACAAGTAAAGGTTATTGCAGGCCGATAAACACTTACTTTATAATTAATAAAAAATTACAATTCAAACATTATGGTTATGAAAAAAAACAAGATTTGAAGTTCTAAAATTAATATTATGTAATCCGGCCATTTCGCCCTAAAAATAAATATTCCCATATCCCAAGATCCGTTCTATTTCCATAAAGCATAAGTCATATAGAAATTTGATCCTTAATTAAAAAAAGTCCCCCTTCCCACCTCTACGCGTCGATCCCTGCACAATCCACGGTCTTTGTGAGGGAGAAAAGAAACCCAAAACACGCGCTCTCTCACATTCAGATCCCATTCCCCCACTCCAAAACCCATCACCCACCTCTCTCGAAACATGGCCACCGCCACTGCAACGGAGCCAGCATCCTCTCCGCCCAAAAGAGCCCTAATCACGGGCATCACCGGCCAAGATGGCTCCTACCTCACCGAATTTCTCTTAGAGAAGGGCTATGAGGTCCACGGCCTCATCCGCCGCTCCTCCAACTTCAACACGCAGCGCCTCAACCACCTCTACATCGACCCCCACAACGCCCAGCACGCTCGCATGCGCCTCCACTATGCCGACCTCACCGATGCTTCCTCCCTGCGGCGCTGGGTAGACACCATTGCCCCTGACGAGGTCTACAACCTGGCAGCCCAGTCCCATGTTGCTGTCTCCTTTGAGACCCCTGACTACACCGCTGATGTTGTTGCCACCGGTGCCCTCCGCCTCCTGGAGGCGGTCCGTGCCCACATCCATACCACTGGCCGCCATGTCCGATACTACCAGGCCGGCTCCTCCGAAATGTACGGATCCACCCCTCCGCCGCAATCTGAATCCACGCCATTTCACCCCCGATCCCCTTATGCGGCCTCAAAAGTGGCGGCCCACTGGTACACGGTGAACTATCGTGAGGCCTATGGCCTCTTCGCCTGCAATGGGATCCTGTTCAACCATGAGAGCCCGAGAAGGGGAGAGAATTTTGTTACTAGAAAGATCACAAGAGCGGTGGGTCGCATAGTGGTCGGATTGCAGAAGAAATTGTTCCTGGGGAATTTGAAGGCGCAGAGGGATTGGGGATTTGCGGGTGACTATGTAA